ACATACAGGGTGTATCTGAATGACTGCAACAAACTTCAAGGGGTGATTCTTTAGTGAATTTTAAGGGTACTTTGATATATGAACCATGGGCGACTTCGGCTCCCCTAAGGAGCTACACCCCTCCAAAAATGGCGGAAAATTTTGGTTTAATTTCTTTTTCTCAAAAACCATAAACGCTAGGAAAATGAAATTTGGGGAATATGTTTAACTCATAATAGGGCACGTTTTGATCCTATTTGTACTTTCAACCTACTCTTCTAAATTACTAAACGTAACCACCCCCTTTACATTTTTGCTAATATCTTTTTTATGGAGATGATAAATACATTAAAACAATTTTACCTAGGTAGATGAAAGTATCCTAAAACTTTTTTGTCTCTCTAAAATTTTTCCAAAAACGACTAATTATTGAGAAAAAAAATAATAAAGCAAATACTGCACGTTAAACATCATCATTTTGTCCGTTATATCCAAAGTCCATTCTAACCAAGTCCGTTATAACGAGATTTTATTGTATCAAGTAAGATTTCCTCCACGTGTAAACAAAACTTAACAAAACATACATTGAAGGTCTTCGATTTTGAGGTTACGTAAACTTCAAGAGTTAGTTCTAAAATCATAGGAAATAAGGTTTCAAGACGCAACTAAAGCGTTTCCCAACATTCCCCATTCTTATTCGATCGGGTTTCGTTCACGATTCCGTGACGATTTATTATTACGAAGTTGACCCCTCGATCGAATAATCCGGGGTTAATGAAGATATTAACATAACATCCTAAATGGATTTGTCCGAAAAAGATTTTAAGTTGGTAAAATGTGCCGTGAACGTGTGAGGTCTCTTCGAATTGCTTGCCCCGCAATTTACCATGGCCTCTCCTCTTAAGCATTGTATTAAGTCTCCGCGCAGATAGCAATCGCTGAACATAAAGGCATAAAGTATACGGTTTGTTTGCCATTGGCCGCGTGTGTCCGGTAATTGTTTTAAATTGAAAACGAGAACGAAAAAAATAATACCTTCGAGCTATTTATACAACTTTGAGTTAAAACATTTTTATTAACATAACCTAAATTCGATGTGGAAAGAGTGAATCATGCCATTCATGCTTCACAATTCTGTAGTAATAAGTAATAAGTGGGTTTATGCAAACCTCATCGTTAATACCCGATTAAGGCATGCAGCAAATTGACCAAAACAAGCGAGATCGTGATGGATCGATTTCAATTTGAATTTTTTTTCTTCGAAAATATTTTTTAATACTACATCTTTTAGAGGAAACAATAAACCCCTCCCCCAATCTCAATCCGATATCTGTCTTCAGCGAACTGTTACGGTCAGTGTATAAGGAGTTGTACAACGTCCGGCACACACTCTCCAGAGAATAGAGACCCTTCTCTTCTCTCCGTTTGCCTTAGCATTTTACCCCTTAGTTCCTAAAGACTAAAGACAGTTATTCGAGACGTTAGAAATGACCACTACGCCATAATCACCACATTAATAACATTATTTCTTTTTAACACCAACATTCATTGAATTAATTCAATTTAGAAGATTAATTATTGCAATATTTTTTGAAAATCATCTCATTTAATGAATAAAATTATTGAAACGTGGTAAAGTGAGCGAACATTTTGGGTGGGTTTATTAGTACAGTCCATCTATGGCTATTTCCAAGGCGGACATCTCAAGGCGGTCGGTGAAGTTTGTGGAAGACGACAGGTACACTCTCTGACCCTCCTGCTGCAGATGGAGAGGAGACTTATTGTGCTCTCGTGTTCCACATTTCGCATATATTAATTGGATTAGCCGGGGTTTATCGATCGAAATTCGGCCGAGGGGACGACAAAACACGTGACCCAACCATTGTTTTTCATTCATTATTATTCAAATTAACACGACATTTTTTTAAACATCCCAAACTTATAATTTCATTAAAAATTCATCATCTGCATCAAAAATCCTTTAAAATGAGCCCAAACACGATTAGGTTATTTTTAAAAACGACGGAGATATGATTATTTTAAAAGTTGCGATCGTCGATTGTTTCTAGATTTCATTTCGGTTGTATCTCGGTTAGTTTTTGAGATAACCCCATCATGTTTGGATTCATTTTAAAGGATTTTAAACGAAGATTATCATTTCTACGGAAATAAAGTTTTTTGATTAAGATGTCGATAATCACGACATCTATCGAGTTATGAACATATAAATATTATTAAAAATTGTCAATCTACACAAAAAATCCTTTAAAATGAACCCAAACTTGATGGGGTTATCTCAAAAAATCAGTAAGATACAACTAAAAATTAATTTAGAAACAATCGACGATCGTTACTTTTAAAATAATCGTATCTCGGTTGTTTTTAAAGATAACCTAGTCGTGTTTGGGCTCGTTTTAAAGCATTTTAAAAGCAGATTATGATTTCTACAAAAATATAGTTTTTTGAAAAAGATGTTGATGACCACGCCATCTATCGTGTTATTAACATATAAATATTAGTAAAAATTCTTAATCTAAATAAAAAATCCTTTAAAATGAACCCAAACTTGATGGGGTTATCTCAAAAAATCAGTAAGATACAACTAAAAATTAATTTAGAAACAATCGACGATCGTTACTTTTAAAATAATCGTATCTCGGTTGTTTTTAGAGATAATTTAGTCGAGTTTGGGTTCATTTTAAAGGATTTTTCGTGAAGATTACGTATTTTTAATCATTTCTATGGGTTAATATAAAAAAAAATAATTATTTTAAAAAATTAATAATTATCGGATAAAGAATGCCGTTGTTATAGCTATAATAAGGTAGCAAAGATATATTTCTGTCAATTATGAAAAAGAAATCAAAGGATTTAAAGATGAAACCCGATCGAAGCACCGCCTCGGCCGCAAGCGACTTATTTCTCGTAACTCGCAACAACAATGTATAGTGAAGATATATTTCTATTGGTTTTGAAGTATAGGAGTCGAGGGGCTATAATCTATATCCTAATCGCGATTGGGGTTGCACCTTAGCCGCACGTCTCTAAAGACGGCTAAACCCGAATGATTCTAGTTCTAGGTCTTGTGTTGGTTCTAGTGATAGTGTTAAGGTAAAACTAGAACTAATACTAGACCTAAAACTAGAAACATTCGGGTTTAGCCGCACGTCTTTAAAGACGGCTAAACCCGAATGATTCTAGTTTTAGGTCTTGTGTTAGTTCTAGTGATAGTGCTAGTGCAATACTAGAACTAACACTAGACCTAGAACTAGAATC